AAAGAGGTGCAGGACTTGGAGCCTGACCACCTCTGTCCCACGAGCTCTTCCTTCGGCCGCATCTCCGAGCGTGGCCCCTGTTTATGTCACCGGGACGCCACCGTACCTGATTCCATGATGCCACAAGACTGAGGTCCACAAACTCCTGGAAAAACCCTTTGTGGAACTGGTTGGTCACCTCCCCAGCAAGAATGGCCAAGTGGCTGGAGGCTGCGCAGCAGGCGAGGCACATTCCAGTGACGGACAGCTGCAAGGCGCAGGCAGGGGGCCGTCAGACAGCGGCGGGCCCGCCGAGACCCGCGGGGCCGGGGTGCGAGCGCTCGTGACCATGGCCATCGCCGCCGCGGCCGTGGCCTTGGCAGGCTGTGAGAACGGCTGCAGAGCAGGACTGCCAAGGGCCTGACCAATTCCAACCCAAATCATTTTTATTCTCGGGTAAGGTTTTTCCCGCTGTGATTCTCTGAAGGACCTGACACGAGCGGCTACCTCTAGCCAGGTGCCCGGTTTTCGCCAGCGGCCGCGGACGCCCTTCTCAGCCATGCCGCAGAGGTGGGAGCACAGGCGGACCAGGGCGAGCACCAGGAAGGCCAGCTGAGGGGACACGGAGGGACCATGAGTTGTGCTCCGGTCTAGACGCCTGGCCGTGCTGGCTCTGACACGGATGTGCCCAGAAGCCTGGCCTCCCTGCTACCAGCCCCCAGGAGCCCACGTCAGCGCACGGCCGCTGGAGGCCCCCCAGGCTGGCACCCATGGGAACCCGCCCTAGGAGAGCCGTGCCTCTCCCGCAGGCCCCAGCCCGGTCCCACTGCGCTTCTGGAGGCCCATGTCCCCCCACATCCACGTGGGGATCCCCGACTCCAAGTGCTGTTCTGCAGATGGGGCCTCTAAGCTCACATGTAATCCCACGGGTGGGTCCTGGTGCTGGGTTGTCCTCACGGGCAGAGGAAGAGACTGCAGACCACTCTGCCCGCCGTGTGAGGACAGCGAGAAGGTGGCCGTCTGCAAGCTGGGAATCGGTCCTCAGCGGCCCCGATCAGGCGGCACCCTGACCTCCACCTCCGCCTCCAGGGCTGAGGGCGCGGGGTCTGCAGTTTACTCCCCGCCCCCCCTGGGCACAGTCCCTTGGGGTGGCGGCCTGAGCTAAGGCCCTGGGGCAGGACCTGGGTCTGGTCCCAACCGTCCTGCAGTGACCACATCCCGTGGACTGTGCCCTGGTGCCAGCCTCACCGATGAGCTGGCTCTCCACAGGGGCTCCTCTGCCTGCGCCCACGCCTAGCGGGCTGCTGGCAGTGTGACGGGGACGGCAGGGTCTGGGTGCAGAGCGGGTGAGTGGCAGGCAGGAGGCTTGGCCAGTGGGGGGCTGTGATCTACACACAGGCGAGTGGCCGGGGCCAGTGGACTTACCTCGAGGAGCGTGAGCAGGTGCCCCCAGACTGAGACTCCATGGAAGACGGCCACCGACTCCACCAGGGCGGAGAGTGCGAGGTCCCCCGCGGGGCGCGTCTCAGCGTGCACGGACACGCTGGCGAGGAGGTGGGTTGGCGGGTTGTAGAGGGCGAAGTGCACGGAGATGGCCCTGGTGCCGCCGTCGATCCACCGGCGGGCTCTGAGCTGGGTCAGGGCGGCGAGGGCTGTGGACCTGCAACGGGCAGT